GTGTGATCTCCCATCATCTGCTGGGGTAACAGTATTAGATCAAGAAGATAAACAAGCTGATAAAGAAGGCTAGTTCTGTTCTAGGAACTCCTCTTAGACCTCTGGGGATTATTTCACTGGGAAGAATTACTTATGTTATGAAGAACATTTGGGACGACAGTGAGCATTCTCCTTAGAAAACTTAAACAATAACAGAGCCTCTTCAGTCAAAATCTTCACCAGATTTGATGCAAGACAGACTGATTCAGAAGATCCATACCTACAGCTATCAACACCTGTCAATGAGCCCATTTAATTTACCTTTTGGTTTGAATAATGTTATTTTTGAATTAATTGAATTGAACAGAACTTAGATTCAGTTCAGTTGAACTGAAGTGTATTGAAACGAATTTGAAAAAGAAAAACTCTCCTTGCCTAGCCTGCCAATTTAAGTGGTCAGCCATTTCTTGCTAAGGCTGCAGAGCTGTTAAACAATCTTGTAAGAAACCTCTAATTCCTTCAGAAAACCATCAGTATTTATTTTCAGGATCAATTACACTCACGGATGGACTCTTTACTGATTTGATACTTCTGATTTGCTATCCTATCTGGAGAAATAATGAGAACCACATTATTATTTGCCTTCCTCTGTAGAATGTTCTGATGGTTGCAGGTGACTTTTGATCTGAAAAGACAGAAGGTTTTGGTGTAAGCACAGAATATGATCAATAATGAACCAAGTTAGATTCTTTTTAAATGCACTAAATCTAAATCAATTTAAATAATAAACTTTAGGCCCTCTAGTGTCAAAAACTGTGAAGTTCAAAAAGCTTCGGCTGTGGCTCAGTTAATCCATTAGCTAAACTTATTTAAAGCTCAGTCTGATCGGCCAGCTTTAATGGATGTGACGCCCCTTGGTTTAACGTCCAGGGGAAACATATAAGAGGACAGAAGAGTGAATGAAAGATGGCAATTAGAAAAGCAAACTCTTAATTTAATATTCACAGTCAATACTTAATCACTGTCAACAATGTAGCTGAGCAAAACATGACATTTAATGTCCATTACTGAAGGTCTGTTTTTTCATTTAACAGGACAAACTTGGGGGAAAGCATTTTTCTTTATTACACAATTCATCTAAGAGACAGACTTAAACAAAATGATAAAAAAAAAAAAAAAAAAGGAAATCAAAGACATTTTAAAACATTTTAGTCACAACTTATAACGGATTCAATGTTATTCCTTTGGCCCCTCTTGCTGGATTTTTTACTCCAAACAGCTGACAGTGTTTTATCTGTTCATCTTATCTGTAAACCTCATTCATTTTAACTGGATGGAGAGCTGAAATGGTCTCTGAGGGTGATGCAATCAGTGTTTTTGGGTGGATATCCCCTGGAAAGGATCAGCATGCAGCCAAAACAAACTCCTGCTGATGGCTCGCCTCTTGCCTTCGGTCTCTGTGGTCTGCTTTCAGACAGCAGCCGAGGGACTCTGAGGGCTCAGAGGAGGAGGAGCACGACAGTCCTCTTGGCCCTCCCTCAAAATATAAGCCCAGAGGCAGGCTGAAACACTCAGACCGCACGCACACGTGGAGCAAACAGGCAACGAGAAAGGACAAGGGAGAAGACAGCAAAGGAGCATAAAGCTGCCAGCACAGAGCAGTCTACACTAGTTTGGCTTTTGGAAGTAAAGCAGGTAGAAAGAAGTTATAAAACAAGAAAAGAGACGTTAAAAAGAAAAGGCTCGATCTTCAGGTGCTATTTTGAGTTCTGTATTATTCGTAAAGGAGTGACTTAAGATTTTAAAAGACTTTGGTGATGTGAAGTGTTATGGGTTTTAGTTTCTGAGTAGATAATAGAAGAATAGGGCAGAGGTGGAATCTGAATGCACCTGCAGCAACAGATCAGAAGACCGACCTTTTCTGGCCTTGATCTGTAGATCAACCTGCTGATGTTTTACTAACGAGGGTTATAAACCAAGCCCACTTTGTCAAACGCTAATTGACACTTGTTGGGAGCTCCACTGCTTTTTGCTGCCGAATTCATCAAGGTAAAAATGACTTTTGCCATGCTACGCACTCCACCTCCAGCCGGCCGCTTCTTGTATGGAGACATCGGCCTCCTATCAGAAGACGACGATGACAACTGCAGCGAGGGGTCAGGCTCTGAGGACCGAACCAGCAACTCTTCCAATTCTGCATCATTTCGCCAGTCTGCCTTCCACATCAAGGTGAACAGAAAGAGGAAGATGTGTGGGAGTGCAGGTGTAAGTGTCTCTAACCTGACGGGCAGGCTGGGCCCCCCAGGCTCATCTCCTCCTGGGGAAGTTCGCCAGAGAACCGCAGCCAATGCACGTGAGAGAGATCGCACCAATTCAGTCAACACGGCGTTTACGGCGCTGCGCACGCTCATTCCCACTGAGCCGGCCGACAGGTATGGAGTCACAGCTTTCATTCATGTTTGTAAATCTGAATAAGCATTTGTTATTTTCTAGCAGTAAATAAAACTTTGTGCAATTAAGACATTTCTGATATCTAAAACTTTTTACCATAGGTTTAGTACCAGTATTACTTCTTACTGTTTTTAATAAATCTTTCCGGACTGCAGGAAACTCTCAAAGATCGAGACGCTACGTCTGGCCAGCAGCTACATCAGCCACCTGGGGAACGTGCTGCTCCTTGGCGAAGGTCTTCATGACGGACAGCCCTGCCACGCCCCCTCGCCTCCGTTCTTCCACGTCAGCTCCTCGCCGACCAGAGGATCCGACCAGTCGGCTCAGCCTAAGCACATCTGTACCTTCTGCCTCAGCAACCAGAGGAAAATGGTGAGCTGAAAAACAGCAAGTGTGAGAGATATCAGCTGAGAAGGTCAAATCAGAATGTATTCATTGTGACTGGAATGATAAGGAGATCAGAGTGGTCATAGAGGAGGGCCGTTGAGTGAGGTCAGTTTTGTGTTAAAGCCTGACCCGAGATCAGCAACTGTGCCAATAAACCTCAGCGGCCCTGAGGTTCTTTAAAAGTGCAACCTCGTTTAGAGTCCACTTTTAAGGGTGAATAACCGTGCAATATTGCCCTGCTGGGGGTTGGTTTTATAAGACCAGCTGTCTTTAAAGTTCAATGTGGTTTCTAAAAAATCCTTTGCACTCCATATACATGATTGTTTTCCGGACACAGGAGTTAGAGAGAGCTCAGGGGGACCCAAGTCTTTCCTCAGCAACTCAGACAACCATGAAAAATATGAATTTAAAGTTTACAGGAGGTTTCATACAGAAGAAGATTTATCACCAAGAGTGTTTTCAATCTGTCCAAAACAGTGTGTAAGATAAAAAAATAAAAAAACTGTTAGGAAATGACAAAGTTTTGACCAAAAGTCATTAAAAAGTAACTGCTGCTACATTTTTATACAGATACAAAAACTAATGAAAAAAGCTTAATATAAAAGATGCATGCGTTTTTAAAGACCTAAAGCAAAAAGGTGAACCTCGGTAAGTGTGAGTTTCTGCCAGACTGATCCAGCACAGGAAATTGACATAATCAAGAACACTCTCCCATAAGAAAGTCACTGTTCTGATGAGAAATAACAGGGAATGAAGGATTGCCATCAGCTGAGTGAAATCAAATATTTACGAGCCCAGTTCTGGTTTTGACAAACAGAGCAGCGAATGATAGAGAGTTGACGTCCACTCAGGCCTTCCTCTATAACCGGGTCTGCTGCCCATTTAGCAGGATTTATTGGTAAGGAGCTGACATCTGGCAGACTCCCCTGTTACCCCAGCAGTGTGTGAAAGCTAATACCCTCCTCAGTGTCTAAACCCAGAGACCCTTTAGCTGAGGGATGACGGGAGTCACAGCAGCGCGAGTCCCCCCTTCCCCCCTTTTGCCTCACCCTCTGAACTTGTGCGCCTGAAAGCCTAGACGTCCTCGATGTCCACACCAAGAAGCCGTCAGCTGGGAGAGACCGGGCTGAGCCCAATCTTATTTTCACTACAAATTTTTTTTCTGTCTGTCCCCCCTCTTGCTAACCTCCTTCCTCCTTTATTCTCATCCACATTCCCTTTAAATCTCAGTTTTTACGTGACCCCCCCGCCACTAGCTCTTTGCATATCGATCAGCCCAGCGTAGGTCGCGGCTGTCAGTAAGAAATGTGTAACAGTATCTGCGGCTGCCAGCCCAGTGCTGTAGATGCATGACCGAGCTGTAAATGCCTGCTGCGCAGAAAACAATTTTTAAACTTTCTGGTGTCAGAGCACTCAAATGCGGACACTTTGACAAAATCCCTCATTACCTGCTGTCAGTCACATTACACTGGTTCCCATTATAGCGAGATAAAAAGTCCCACTGTTCTTTTGTGAGTTAAACATGTTCGACTGATGAAGTGAGACCACATGATAATCATCATCTTTTATTTATTTCTTGGTTATGCCCTCAAAGTGGGGAGGAAAAACAAATGAGGACTATGTGATCCAAGTTACTGGAAGGGGATTGGGAATATTGTCCACAGATTTACTCCACATTATTGTAAAACTCAGTCGACAGACGTTGTCGAACTCCAGACACAGTGGTGCAACTCACTGGTTTGTGTAATTAAGTGTTTCTTCAGCTCACCTTCATCCATGCAGATCTACAATTCAGACTAATTCAAAAATCAGAAAGTTAAGTTCTGATTAATTTAGAGAAAGCTGGATAAAGGAGGCAAAGGTTACTATTGTTTTCATAACTGCCCCCTGACCCTTTGTATAGATCTGTTATGTAAGAACAACACTGTAAGTCTGCTTCTTTTTATTTGCTTCTTTCATATTTAAAACTAGAACCTAAGGTTTCAATCACAGGGGTGGGCCCTAATAGGTGTGGGCCCTTGGACCCTTGCCTGGAAAACCCAGTGGATCTATTACCTGTAACAGAAAGAGATCATATTGCAGTAAGTTTATTCTGTAAATAAAATAGGAAGTCCTCAGAGAGGTGAACAGCTAACAGGTGGTCTGCTAAGTGTTCACAAATCTTAGCCGTAGCTAATCTATTCAAACTGAAGACATTTGAATTAAACATTGACTGCCCTTACAATTTATTATTTTCATTTAAAGCTGTTTGTCTTTATGAGCCAATATTACCAACTTAACACATTCACACTACCCTTTTCCTGAGTTATTTTACTGTTATGTTATCCATATGAAGCCTTAATACATTATCCAGTATGGACGTGTGAATTAATACAGAATGTATAAACCAGTTATAACTGACTTGACACGAGCTCTTAGGACGGCCTTACGTAAATATATCACTAGAATGATTGACAATTAGGAGGGCCACTTATTTAGATGATCCACCCAGAAGTAAAAGATCAGCCTCTATACCTTTAAACTCTGCAACAACAGCATCACAGAAAAAAATTGTACTACAAGGTCATCCTCTCGTTGAATTTCTTCAGCTGTTTTCATAACCCTATTAACAACCTTAAGAACCCCTGCTTGTAAATCCATTGTTTGTTATTACTAATCAGCTGTTGGACATACATAATTTCTGGGTGAAGTTCTTCTTTGGGGTTGACTTTTTCAGTTAAGGCTGTATACTTTGTATTACTGCCACCTGCAGGTGACATCCATTACGCCGTTGCTGTGTTAAGTGTAAAAGCACAAAGTAATTCACTGGGAGTAATTTGCATGTGTGAAAGGTGCTAATTATTGTTCGACCTGGGTGTGTGGTCCCCACTAAATTATTGGAACTTATTTGTAAAAGTGATCTGAAATCCCTGCTATTAGGTCAAACTTCTATGGGCTGGACCAGCAAACCCATCTGGTCGGCTGATTATTGGTAAAAGAAACAATTTTAAAACAACTACATTAACCTAGTAAAGTAAAACCAACTTAAATCTGACATAGTGACTTGAAAAAGGTTTTGCCGACACTTTTTTTTAGATTCTGTGACTATATCAAAATGTGGCTGTCCAGTAGTACCGTAGATGGATTTCATCTAAACTGAAAATGTTCTGTATTAGTAAATATTAACCACCTATAGTTTTTACTGAGATGATTATTGTGTTTGTAGATTGTTATGTCCTATTTACCTAACTTATACTGAAGCTGTATCAATATGTACCATCCAAATCAGCTCATTGTCCGTATGCTGGAATAATTTACCAACAACTAACATTGAGAATTTATAGCAATGTCCTTACCTGTTGGAAAGTTGAAATGTTTACTCCATTCTTGGTGGGCATAGATATGACTGAGTAGTTGTAGTGGATTAGGATGCAGTTAAACAAGGGGAGCTACATTTAGTCACATAGATGCTCTAAAAAAAAAAAAAAAGCATGTGTACCGATGATTTCAATATGTCTAATGGATATAGAAATATTTCATTTCTAGTTATTTTAGATGACTAAGATCACCTTAAAAGGGGGGTCTATCTGTCAAGCTGAGTGTTCTGCAACTAAAGATAAGAGACACCTTTAGTGTCCCACAGTGGGTAAATTTGGGTGTGAAAGTGGCAAAGTGATAGAATTAAACTTGCAGGTGAACGCAGACAAATTTTTGGAAAGTAAAAAAAAAAAATCAAATATGAAATGTATAGCAAAATAAAAAAGGGGAAAACAACTTTCTTTATTATGGAAACTAGATATTTAGGTAAGAAAAAAATAAATACTTAAGTTAAATGTATATTGTATAGTACTGTATACGTATGTTTAAGTCTGGTTTATAGTTGAAAAACATTAGCAGCACGTATCATTTTGGCCACAAATATCTGTGCAGACACCAGCACTGATATACATACATATAAATAAATACATACTGAGCAGATTAGAAAGTGAACAAATAATGATATAAATAATGGAAATTACATTTTTTTTTTTTATCAGATTATGAAACTGTGTCACTAACAGATGAAAATAAAAAACTTGCTGAGCTTGTGGCGAGCAGCAAAAATGAGCAACAGGAACTGGAAGGATGGATCTACTGTGGCGCCTCCACAGTGTAGCAGCACTGGATGTGTCTTTGGTTTCCTGCATGTTGTTATGAAACAATATATTTCTCTAGTAGTGGCTATTAAACAGAATGTGTCAATACACTGTTAAATATCAGATTAGTAATCTTATCTCAAAGCTATAGGATAGGTGTTCTAGAGTTTGCATGTTCTCTACATAGATAGATTGTTTTTCGTGCTGGGACAAAGGTTTCCTCCACAACTTTTTTTTTTAAAAAGTGGACGTTTTAATTGACCTTCAAAGAGTGTCTGTGACTGGCTGTCATTTAGCTCTTTGTGTTTATCGGACTGTCGGCACTAATAACTTTAATAGAAGGAGGGTTTATGTGGGCAGGAATCTAAATGAACGACATCACTGATATTTACAGCAGAAATAGTGTTTAGGCATGGACGGTGTACTACAGTAAAAAAAGATTAGGTTATAGATCTAAAAACCTTTACTCTGGATTGTTGTTTCTTTGTGTTTTAACAAAGTTATCCTTAATAATGAGGTGTAGAATGGATAGTCTATAAATTCCTGTGCTCCACTTTAGGTGATGTAAGATCTCACATCTGGACTGTGTAAAATTATGATTAAATACTTTCCAAATAAAAAAATGTTCTACTGCTTTTGAAAATATTATTAAATGTTGAGTAGTCTGTATTCTCCCCTGGCATATAAACAGTTAAGTGTTATTGGGACAAAGTTGGAATATTTATTTGCTCAATTTCTGGAGTGTTTTGAAGTGGGCTGAAGGGCAGAGTGGCTGCTGGTGATTACAGGGAAGCAGACGATATGCAGAGGTAAAAGGGGAGTTTCTGTTCAGAGCTCTTTCTCTGTATGTTTTTATAGTTATTGAGGTTC